GAGACAGAGACAGAGAGACAGAGAGAGAGAGAGAGAGAGAGAGAGAGAGAATGGAGAACTGTAGTGAGCTGGACAGGATCGCCATTATAAGATGGCGCCGACATCCTGTCTTGTTGGAAACAAACAACTCCATATTTGGCTATGCCTTTGAGAGCTGCATGTCCCCCACTTCCCGCATGCGCGGTGGATGAGGATCCTTGAGCCTATTCTGATACGGTCTGGTGTCAACTGTTGGTGGCAGCCAATCACAGGGCGACCCGTGTGCCATTTCCCTATTTAAGCAGCTGCCTAAGAGCCCTTCACCCCTTCGCTTCATGCTGTCTCTCCCCTTAGCTCCCTGCCCCTTTGCTCCCTGCCCTTCGCTTCCTACCCTTCCCTTCCTGCCCCTCGTTTCCTGCCCCTTTTGTTTCATGCTCCCCATCAATCAAGGATACTCCAGTAAAGCATGATCTGAGTGGAATCCTGATGTGGTGGTTGTTCTTTCTTGCTGGTCGAGAGGTCCGCCACAGTTGGTGCTGAAACCTCGGGAACTTCGGTCGCCAGGCGAAGGGCCAAAGAGGATTCAGAACTCAATACAAGGAGTGGCGACGTCGGTAAGTTTCTCCCAGTATGCTGATTTCAGTCTCCCCAAGTATGCTGTTTGCGGGAGTTGATTCTAGGGTGTTTGGTCTCGTGTTCGTGGCGTTTGTGGTGTTTGTACTGGCCTGCTGTCTCTGGTTGCACTGCCGTAAGTCCAGCCGCAACCTCAGGGTGGGGAACAACGTAGACGTTCCGAGAGTGGGGCAAAAGGCCCGCATTAAACACAAGAACAGTTTTTCAGAATCAGATTCAAAGGGAGAAAACTTGGATAGGCCTAAAAGAAAGAAAAAGTTAAAAGAAAAGGATCCTCATACAGTCCTCCCTAAAAGGGAGGCTAATGAGAAGAGGGGAGGTCCCCTCTATCCAGTGCTGGAGGAATTTGCGGGCCTGGACTGGTCTGAGGAGGAGTTAAACCCTCAGGAGGAGGAAGAACTAGAAAAAGCCGCCTCTGGCATTCTTAATGTGTCATCCTATGATAGGCTTGGTAGAGATCTGGCCGCTAAACAAGATATGCTAAGGAAGGGAATTATATTCTTCTGGTTTGAGTTACCAAGGCCTCCAGATTTTGTAGAATGTGAACAGCTGCGGCTCCAAGATGCAAAGCTGCAAACACGGGACCTGCCTTGAGGACCGACAGGCTAAAACGCTAGGCCACTCCCAGCATGGGCCTCAGGGCATAGAAGTGCAGCAGGACCGTGGAAAGGCTCACCAGCTTAAAGGGTCGGGCCCAGCCGCTCTGCTCAGCCACACCTCCAAGCAAGGCTGAGCACATGTTCTTGTGGTTAAACAACTTTATATTTAGGCCCAAAAGGGGTATTGCTAAGTTTTGAGGTAGATATTTGCCTAATTTTAAAAAATAGACATAATGGGAGACTCTCAATGCTGGGGAAACCCTCACTCAGGTCTAGGGATGGCGCGGGCCCCCACATGGCTCGCTGGAGGCCCTCTTTGCTGAGGTCACGAGCACTTGGCCGTGGTTGGCCAGGAAGGAGTTCTGAAAGACCCCCACAGTATAGACAAACAGCTAAGCAGCAGCAATGCCAGGCTTAAACTTTGGAGCAACGCAAGTAACATTAGAGCAGGGAAGTTCGACTTGAGAACAAGGGCGGAGAAGCCAGGCAAGATATCTGCGGTCAGCCGGTCAGCCATCTGGCCCCAAGCGATAAGGAACCCGCAGCTGGCCTGCTCTAATGAGAACCTCCCGTTTGCTTAGGGAAACAGGATGCCTATAGTCAGCACATGTGCCCAACTTAGAATATCAGTAATTCACAGAAGAGACAACTCCCCCTATGAAAGATCCCAGCTTGGCTGCTGTAACGTCATTTCACAAAGCTTTTGATGAACGACTGTAAGTGCAGAGTAAGGTCAGGGTCCCTGGCTGCAAAACAGGATATTTATATCCATAGATTCGGGCAGGACATCAATTAACAGGATATCTGTTCCCATACATCTGTGCTGGGAGAGGAAAAACCACCTGTGCCCCTTGCCCCATTCCAACTGACCACTAACGATGCATTTGCTTCTGTAATCTGCTTCTGCTGCCCTCTTTCCTATAAAAAGACCTTCCCCCAGTCTGCAGGCGCTCTTGTCTCCCGAGAGACTAAGTCGCCCCAGGTACCTGTGTACTGAATAAAGCCTCTTGCTATTTGCATCCGAAGAGTGACTCGCTGTTCCTTGGGAGGGTCTCCTCAGCCTGAAAGACTGCCCACCACTGGGGTCTTTCAGTTCCACCCTGAGTGACCGGGAGAAAGAATTTTTGAAAAAAGAGGCCACAGCCCACTGGTCCAGGAGGGCCATAAATTCCAAAAATCCAATGGTGGTCTCAGGAGGACAGCTCCCTGCCTCGGGACCACTCCCAAGGTCGTAATCAGGCTAGTTCCTAAAACACAGCAAGCTGATAATCACAAGGAGGAAACTCCCTGTTTATTGGGATTGTTATCAGGATTGCAGTCTGGTTTTGTCTTCAGCTAGTTCCTGGTGCAGCATTGCGGTAGCAGCTAGTCCTGGATTTTTGGTTCTTCTCTTCCTGCTGGAGGAGTCTGGGTTTGTTCAGGTTTTTCAATACGATGTGTAATCCAAAGATGGCTGTGTCGATTTACACTTCCAGCAATAAGGTTTTTTCTTTAACCACATTTTCTTAAGCATAAATTGTTAACAATAATTTTTAATCTTGGTCATTTTTACAAGAATAAGGTAAAATCTCAGAGTTTTGGTTTACATTTCTCTGAGGGCTAAAGAAAACATTTTTTAAATGTCTCTCAGTCATTTTTAAGTTCGTCTGTTGAGAGTTTTCAATTTAGGTCTGTAACAAATATTTTTATTGGATTAATTTTTAATAACTAATTTCCTAAGTTCTTCATATTTTTAAAATGGGTTTATGATAAGTAAAGATCTTTTCCCACTCTAGCCTTGTTATACAAAAGCTTCTCAATTCAGGAGATATAATTTATGGTTTCTCACAATGTTTGTGCCACTAAGGCTATGTTTAAGATGTGGCAAAGTGTGCTTCAAAAATTTTTCTCTGTGAGGTTCAACATAATTTTTATATGCTAAGGCCTTTGGCTCATTTAAACTTAAATTTTGTACATGGAGATGGATGTAGATCTATTTTCATTTTTCTACATGTTGGGGTCAATCCTAGAGGGCTACAACCTAATGCGTTGTGGCAAATAAATGTTACCCATGTGCCTAAATTTGACAAATTAAAATATTTACATGTATCAATGGATACCTTTTCTGGCATTATTCATGCCACGCCCCTAGCAGGGAAAAAAGGTAACTCATGTAAAAACACATTGCCTTGAGGCCTGGGCTGCCTTAAGACAGACTATGGCCTTGCATATACCTCCCATGGATTTTGTGCCTTTTGTGCACAGCTCCAAGTGACCCACATTACGGGTCTTCCATACAATCCACAAGGACAAGGTATTATGGAGAGAGCCGACAGAAATATTAAAGAAATTCTACAAAAACAAAAAGGGGGAATAGCTGAATCCGCTTCCCCCAGGGAAAGAATCTCCCTTTCTCTCTTCACACTTAATTTTTTAAACCTGAATGAGTCGTGTACTGCAGCAGCTGAAAAGCATGCAGCAGGCCCTATGGAACAAAAGGAATATGTGATGTGGAAAGATGTATTGGATAACAAATGGTATGGACCGGATCTTGTGGTGGCAAGATCCAGGGAGCTGTATGTGTTTTTCCACAGGGCCAAGAGGCTCTGCTTTGGGTTCCGAGCCGGCTGACATGCACGATCAAGGAAGTTCCTAAGGATGAGGCTGAGTGTCTGGAGGAAGTTCCTGCTGACATCCCTGATGGCGTGGATCCAGGGGAAAGCTGAGCACAGAAGGAGAATCCTGTCAGCCCTCCCAAAGGCGATGCCTGTTCGGCATGATGCCACAGTTTTCCCCAGATTTTTACCACCGATAGAAACCTTGAGTTACCATTTTTAATGTATAAGTCTAAAGTGGCCCTTTTAGGAGAAGCACGTAACATTACAGTGAAAGGGTTCCTGTGCTTTCAGTTGCGTGGGCACGTTTTTTGGCAAGCTGTCTGGGTGGCTGTGTGTTGTGACTGTGGTTGGTTTGCTGCCTTCAAGCCCAGACTAATAGGGATAAGGCTATATTGTGATAAGGTTATAATCTCTCAGGCATTAGCTACCCTGGAGTGTGGCTCCTTCCCCCAGATATGGTTGTCAGCACTAAGAGATGCTTAGGGCTTCCATCTTGCACAGCCTATGCACCCCATGGGATCTGTTGATCCATTGCACTTGGGTAGGTGTGCGGATGTAGGTTCCTGCGGCACAGCCAATGCACCCCATGGGATCTGTTGATCCATTGCACTTGGGTAGGTATGCGGATGTAGGTTCCTGTGACACAGCCTTTGCACCCCCAGGGTTCCTCGAGTACCCATTGCACAGGGGAAGGTGCGTCTATGGAAAATATATTCCATCCTCGATCGACCAACACATCATGAGGTGGGGGTCAGATTGGATGACATTAGTCCTGCGCTCATTGCTTACAAACAATAAGGGGGATCTGTAGTGAGCCGGACAGGATCGCGATTACAAGATGGCGCCGACATCCTGTCTTGTTGGAAACAAACAACTCCATATTTGGCTATGCCTTTGAGAGCTGCATGTCCCCCACTTCCTGCATGCGCGGTGGATGAGGATCCTTGAGCCTATCCCGATGCGGTCTGGTGTCAGCTGTTGATGGCAGCCAATCACAGGGCGACCCGTGTGCCATTTCCCTATTTAAGCAGCTGCCTAAGAGCCCTTCATCCCTTCGCTTCATGCTGTCTCTCCCCTTAGCTCCCTGCCCCTTTGTTCCCTGCCCTTCGCTTCCTACCCTTCCCTTCCTGCCCCTCGTTTCCTGCCCCTTTTGTTTCATGCTCCCCATCAATCAAGGGTACTCCAGTAAAGCGTGATCTGAGTGGAATCCTGATGTGGTAGTTATTCTTTCTCGCCGGTCGAGAGGTCCGCCACAGAGAATACCCAGGGGTGAGGGAATGGTCTATATGGGTCTAAGAGAGAAATAGAAAATAAATGTGTAAGAGTCCAATAAAGGAAATCAGATAAAAAAGAAAGAGCAAAAGTTAATAAGAGTCTTTAGAGCAGTGCTTCTCTACCTGTGAATCTCGGCCCCACCCATTAACAGGAGTGGTCTAAGTTCATCAGAAAACTCCGATATTTATATTAGGGTTCATAACAGTGGCAAAATTACAATAATGAAGTAGCAACGAAAATAATTTTATGGTTGGGGTTCACCATACCATGAGGAGCAATATCAAAGGGTCGCAGCATTAGGAAGGTTGAGAACCGCTGTTTTACATGGAAACCAACCACCAACCTTCCAAAGCACATTTTAAATTGATGCAAGTGATCCAACTGAGGGGGTAAAATAAATCAGACAAGTTTGTTTTTGCATAGGATATTTTATAGTTACCAAAGCGTTGTGTCGTATTCAGATGTGAAAAAGTTGGTAGTTTAGGAGTAGGCAGGAATTGTTACTGCTGATTTCTGTTGCTAGGGTAAGAAGTAAGATAATTGCTTTTGAGGTAGTATTGCTCTGTTTAGAAGAAAGATGTTACATAGCTTATTAAGGAGGAAGGATATATGGATTAACAGCCCTAGGGAATTTGCCTGTGTGCACATTGGCAATCAGGAAAATAACTTCATCCTTAGCATGGCCCACTGTTTTTTTTTTTTTTAAGATTTCATTTGATTTATGTACATCATTATTTTGTCCAAAATCACATCTTCATGAGGGTGTTAGATTCCCTGGAAGGGTAGTTACAGATAGTTGTGAGCTGCCATGTGGGTGTTAGGAATTGAACCCAGGGCCTCTGCTCTGGAAGAACAATCAGTGATCTTACCTACCAAGCCATCTCCCCAGCCTGATTGGCTGTTTTTTTTTGTTGTTGTTGTTTGTTTGTTTTGTGTTTTTCCAGCCAAGTTGAGCTGTTCTGTCACAGGTATATACCATAGTGAATGAGCCGGAATTGTATCCTAGGCAGCTGAAAAAAAAAAAAAACCCAAAAAGGACTGAGAGTATTTTAGGATTTGTCTAAGGATTATCTAAGCTAGACAACAAATTATTTTTACAGACCTAGGAACTGAACTCAGGCCCTCAGGAAGAAGAGCTAGTACCCTTAACCGCTGAGCCTCATTTATCTCTAGCCATAGGCAGTAGATTTTTAAAAATAAACCTAATACTTGATTTGCGTGCTAGGAAACACTTTTGTTATCTGTAGTCCTTATTAATAAAGAAATCATGAACACTGACTACTCCTCTAGTAACAAGTTTAAGTCCTCGTAAACTCCTGGTTCTATTTTCACCAACTAATTGGCCATTATAATTTTATGTCTTTGTTTGAAGACATATTCTTTTTTTTTAATATTTGTTTATTTATTTATTATGTATACAATATTCTGTCTGCATGTATGCCTGCAGGCCAGAAGAGGGCATCAGATCTCATTACAGATGGTTGTGGGCCACCATGTGGTTGCCGGGAATTGAACTCAGGACCTTTGGAAGAGCAGGCAGTGCTCTTAACCACTGAGCCATTTCTCCAGCCCCCTGAAGACATATTCTTGAAAATAATTTGTTTGAAGATATATTCTTGAAAATAATTGTAAACATTTACAGGACACTCATGGCCAAAAGCACTAGTGGCAATGTGAATGAAACTAATCTAGCCCTGGTGTTTTTTTCTCTAAGATTTACCAGATTCTTATTGTGTTTAGGATTACCAGACAGCATTTGAGCTAGCCCTGGGGGCACTTAAATAACAAAAGCACAAGAATTGTGAAAACCATAGCATTACATATATAGTGTGAAATGAGAGGCAGGGTAGCTTCGTTCAATCCTTGCAGAGAACAGTCGCCAGGTATGTTAACATTCCCAGATCTTTGTAGTTGGATACAGACGTAGGAGCGACAAATGAATTTTATTGCATAACTAAATTTGGAAATATGGAATAATGAGTATCAGTGGTACATCTGGAACATTTCTTCCATAGTTCATTCCTGTGTTACTTCGTCAAAAGGAAAGGAATGGTGATATTAGCAGGGAGGTGGTGGTGCATGCCTTTAATTCCAGCTGTCAGGAGGCAGAGGTAGGTGGATCTAAGAGTTCGAGACCAGCCTGGTCTACAGAGTGACTTCCAGGATGGCCAAGGCTACACAGAGAAAACCTATCTATTGACGCCAGTCTTCAAGATTTCTGTGCAAGATATGTAATACCTTTGTCCTCTTCGTTACTGATAGCTTCAGTAAGCACTTTTTAAAAACTATTTCTTATAATAATCTTAACATTTGATATGTAGATCTGACAAGCCCACATTATCATTATTTAAAATTTTTTTCAGTTATAATTGCAAGATCTCTTCCCACATTACACTAATTAGACTTGAGACAAAACTTTTTGGATACCAAATTATCTTCTTGGTGCTTTATTATTATTTTTTCTTTGAAGGGGTATTGTTTTTTCTGATGTGCATATTACTCTCCTCTGTTTACTGCAATTCTTTCTGTTAAACCCATCTTCAGTACAAAAACAAACCAGTAGACTATCGCCAAGAAGAGGCTGTTGTTGATGTTTCTCCTCCCCGTGTATCCCAAATAATTTATATCAACCTCACTCAGCACACCGCACCGCTTTCTTTACCGCGGCATTCTCCAAAGGATTTTCTCCCAGGGAGAGGAAGAACGTCGCGGTGGGAAGGCTCCGTACCACCTTTCGGCCGGGAACTGAGATCTGCAGCGCCAAGGACTGCACCCGGCCGCGCTTCCGGGTTCCAGTGGCCGGTTGAGGGCGACTTCCGCCGCGGCCCACCGAGCCTCCGCGGCGACCGTCCGGGCCGCCCAATTAGGGGCTTTCCGACCCCAACGCGGAGCCCGAGGGGCGGGGGCCGCGGCCGACTCGCGGAGGGCACCCCGCCCCCGCCGCCATTGCGCCTCTGGGCGCACGCGCAGCTGCAGCGGCTCCGCATTTAGTTCGCTATGGCGTCCCTCGCGCCCCACGGTTCTCCTCCCGAAGGCGGCTCCCACCCAGCACAGCCCGGAGGCCCCGGGGCCCGTCTCTCGCAGGCCCCCGAGCACGACTACCCCTAAGGTGGAACGGGAGTGGCCAGATTCGAGAGTGAGGAAAGCGGCAACCGGAAAGGGCTTGCCGGGTCGCCGGACGACGAGCCCAGGCCTCAGAGGAAGAGGAGGGCGGGAGCTAGCCGAGGTTTGCCGAAGGCGGCGTTCTCAAGCCGCGCGGGGTGGGTAGGAGGGGGGTGTGGCGGAAACTGCCGAGCTTTTCCGAAGGCGGCCACGGCCGAGTTGCCCGGATGTAGTTGGTGGAGCGGCGGCGGCGGTAGCAGCGGCAGCGGCAGCGGCAGGAGTCGGCGAGCTTTAAGGACCCGGCGGCGGCGGCGGGGGGAGGAGGGCAGGCGGTGGCGGAGCCGGAGGAGGGGAAAGTGCTGGAGGTGCTCGCTGTCTGCGCGGGACCAGAACACGGCCTCTCGCCCCCTCCCCCCGGCTCGCGCTGCCGCGGTGTAGTTGGTGCCGCTGCCCCGGCCGACCCTAAGCGGTGGTGACGGAGGGAGATGGCCCGGGAGCGCGGGCGCCAGTAACGGGGAGGTGCGGCGAGCCGCCGAGGGCGCGCCGAGTCCTGGTGCCGGGGCTGCCCGCTGCCCGCCCGCCTCCCGCGCGCGCGCCCGCCCGCCCGCCTCGCGGCCGCTCTCCCCCTCCCCGACACACACACACACAGCCGGGCATTGATGGTAATGTATGCGAGGAAACAGCAGAGACTCAGTGATGGGTAAATCGTCTTTTCGTTTCGGGCCGGGCCGCGGCGGAGGGCGGGCGGGCGGGCGTCCTTATCGGGAGCTGGCCGCGCCGCCATTTTTGTTGTTAACCCCGATCGGGATCGGGCGGAGGAGGCGGCGAGCCGGGTCGGGAGGACAGGCGGGCACCCTGGGGGGCCTGGCGGGCGAGGCGAGCGGGCTGCGGACCGGATACCGGCCTGGGCCTCTGAGCCCGGGGATTGTCCGCGGCGCGAATCCGCTCCGGTACGTTTGGTCGGCGGCCCGCGGGCAGGGGCGGCCGGGGAGACCCGCTTTCTTCGTTTCCCGCGATGTCTCACGCCATGGTCCCCTTCTTACTGTTTTTCAGCTGTCACGACCGGAGGGGGGACTCTCAGCCTTTCCAGGTACCAGCCGATCCCGGGGTGGAGGGATTGGAAGGGGCCGGAGGGGGAAGGGAGGGACTGCTACTCGAGCGCAGGCTTCAGAAGTCGCTACAGGCCTTTCGGTGCAACATACCCGAAAGTAGCACGACTGACCCGCTTAAAATTTGGTATTGGGTTCCATTAGTACTCTCCAACCTCGTCTAAGGACTTAGCTTGAAAGGTGGCTAGAGGAAGTTCAGGGTTTTTCTTTTTTCTTAAAGAAAAAATACAGCCAGGAAGACCTAGTTTGGTTTGAGTAGGAAGGAATCGCTGGGGTGTAGCGAGAGGTGACTTCAGAGACACATTTACTTACTTGTTTTGGGGAGCCAAAAGATAAATGGGAAGGTTTTAAAAGTAGTTGAAAAGGAGAAGTACTTAAGTGAGTTACTGTTGTAAACTACCCTCTTACCATTTTAATTTCTAGTTCAAGTTAGCCCCTTTCAAGGGAGAGGTTTTGCTTTTGAGTTAGTTTAAATTTTTTATTACGTGGGCGCTTCATACTAATAGAAATGACTCTGGGTGTCTGTTCTTACGAAAGTGTTTGCATGGAAAGTTTTAAAGATTTTGCTGAAGTGTCCTTCAAAACAGTAGCTGTCTGATGACAACAGAAGTAAATACTTAATGCCTCTGATCACGTTTAAAAGATGAAAAAATAGGAACAAGTCTGTCTCAAGGTTCTGTAGGCCAGACTGGCTTCCAGTTTTACTCCTGTCTTAATCTTGTGAGTGCTGGGTTACACGTGGGAGCCGCTAGGCTGGCCAGAGAGCAAGCAGGTTTCTAGCCTGATGCTTGTGTTGTCTAGGAGTTTGCCAGATGTCAAGAATATTTGCATGTGTCAAAGATTGACCCTTCCCCCATGAACTACTCCTGGTGAAGAACTGATACATTGTGTTCATCTTAAGACTCTGGCGGAGTAAAACTGTTGTTTTAAGGGCATTTAGAATTGCCCTTCTTTAGAAGAATTGCTCAGGTATCAGTTTGTTTTGTCAAATATTCTTAGAGTTTAAAGAGTATTTTATCGCTGAAAGAGCTTGTAAATTAAGATTAGTGCTAGTGCTCTTTCTGAATCAAAGAAATGAAAAAACTTGTCTTTTTTTTTAAATTATAATCTTAAAACTTGCATTTTTATTGATGTGCCTGAATACATTAGCTGCAGAGAATAAACGAATTGTAGTATAAGCTTTCAAAAATGATTTTAGTTTCAAAGTGTGCCAAGATCCTTGTTTTTTAAAGTTTACACAATTAGGGCACGCCTTTGTGTATTCTTGTTAGATTTGTTATCACGAGTTGCATAGTAACTCTTGAACATGTAGATTTTCACTGAATGAGGGAAGTATTGAAAATGGAAGTAAGTGAGTTTTGATATAAGTGAAGTTAACACATCAAAATTTGTAATTTAAATAGGTAATTGAGTTTAAAGTTTCAACACTTTCTCTTTCATTGGGGGGGTGATGTTTTACAGGCACTTAAGTATTCGTCAAAGAGTCACCCCAGTAGTGGTGATCACAGACATGAAAAGATGCGAGACGCCGCAGATCCTTCACCACCAAATAAAATGTTGCGGAGATCTGATAGTCCTGAAAACAAATACAGTGACAGCACAGGTCACAATAAGGCCAAAAATGTGCTTACTCAAAGAGTTAGAGAAAGGGAAGGTGGTAAGTAGCTTTCTGGCCCAAACTGTCATGTCTATTTACTTTTAGGATTAAAGGAACAGTGGAGCATTTAGCATGTCCAGCTTAAGGAAGTTACTGTGTGCTGATGTTACCAAGTTTAGATCCATTTTGTTAAATTCAGCAGTCATTGTAGGAAAATGGTATTGGCATGCTCATAGACTCTAGTGTTTGATGATAAAGAGTCCATTTGCAAATACAATCTTCTAAATGTTCACTAGTGACAACAGAGTCCATGAACAGTTTTCCAGGAAAGGAACTTTGAGTTCTTAAGTATTTCAGTTTAGTTTGAAGTCTTTGGTGCTTCAACTTATTTCCTAAAGTGTTCAAGTTTTTTTTAAGTTATGCATTTAAAGAGGAGGCTTCTCAAGGTGGCTTTTTTGTGATTCAGGAAATTTGTTTTTGTTGTAACATTTTAACCCCCCCCCCCCCCCCCCCCCAGGGTTTTTCTTTAGCTTTGCAGCCAGCCTGTCCTTGAACTAGCTCTTGTAGACCAGGCTGTCCTCAAACTCAGAGATTTGTCTGCCTCTGTCTCCGGAGTGCTGGGATTAAAGATGTGTGCCACCACTGCCCATCTGTAACCATTTAAAATTTTCTAGCCTGTTTTTCCCCTAGCGTCCTGTTAAAGTTTAATTGAACTACTCAGCTTTAAAAATAGTCCTTTTTAGAAATTTTTATTTTACCTTTTGAGATAGGGCCTAATATAGTGAGGCTGACTTCAAATGAGTTATTTAGCTAAGGATGATTAAGTTAGCCATATTTCTTCTGATACCTTCTTGTTACCTGCTCAGACTGGTGAGAACTGGAAATAATAAGTACATTTTTAGACTGACTTTGCTCACAGTTTATAAATGTAGCCATTTGCTTCTAAAGACCACTTTGGTGGGATAAAATAATTTCACTAAGGTCATTAAAAGCCATATATTTTTCTTTCATAATAAGGCCTTATTACTTTAATAGATATTATTTTAAATGGTATTAGTTGAAAACTGGAGAAGGTCCACAGTAGTATACCATGGGCTTTTTATTTTACTTTTGACTAGTTCTGAATGCCTTTAATGACTTTCAGAAAATATTTTGCATCTTCTCGTGTACTCTTATTGTTTGTTTGTTTGCCTTTTGCCTTTTAGGGTAGAATCAGCTACACTCATTGTGATTATGTATTGAGAAATATTGGCCTCTGCATAATTACTGGGTTGAGGAATTATTAATAGTCAGAAGATTGCTTTAGGATGGAGTAATTGCATGGGAGGAAGATAGTTGCGTGTAGTATAACTATAGTTTTATGCAGATAAACTACATTTTAAAGTGGCAAGTTAGCAAGTGTTAGAAAATCTTGGGTACCAAAATGATGATTATCAGTTTTATGGATACATTTTCTGTAATATTCCATGCATCCATGGGTAGTACTATTGATCACTCTCACTCTTTAGGGCTCATTTTACATATTAACTTTTGGAAGGCAAGAGTAATTGTACTTTTAGTATACTTTTTGGTAATTGACACAAAAGGATATGCTACTTCATCTGATAGACTCTCAAGTTGTTTTTTTGTAACAACTGATCCCAATTATGCATTCATTGCAAAATCCAGTAAGAAATTAATTTTACACACTCAAGAAAACACCTGTAAATAATTTTATGTACTTATACTGAGGCAATAAGTTCCTTTAGAGTTGGAATAATTCTCACTAAATTCTGTTGTTTATTTGGATGTGAATCATGTGCTAAGAGTTGTGTGATGGTTTTAGACGTCAGGTTTATGATGTGATCCTTTGCCTGGAAGTATTCCAGATTTTGAGTTTTTGACTTGACACTTAGGCCTAGTGGTGGTTTAGTTGCTTGCCTTTTCTGTGTTTGTTTTCTGCATTTTGATTTTCATTCACCTTTGTAAATGAACTCATAATTGTTGGCTCTTGTTTCTTATTTTATCTGGGGTGATTAGTTCCATTTGCAAGCAGTTTGTTAGTCATTTTAATCTCTAGTCATTTGCTTAATTATACCTCACTTTGTAATTCACTTTCATCACTTTTGAGGCTAACAGATAGTATGACTCCATTTATCTTAGTCCAGGATAAAATAATCTTGTGGTTTTGTTATTTGCTTGTTTTTTTAATGGTTTTTTTTTTTTTTGAGAGGGTCATAGGGTCTCACTGTAGAGCTGGCTAGGTTGGAACTTGATATATTGATGGGCCACAATGTACCCATCTGCCTCTCATAAAGTCAGTCTTTAGAATTCCAAATATACCTTTGAAGTCCATTTTACATGTATATTTAATGTATATTCTTTTTGGGGGGGCAGGGATGTATATTTAATGTGTATTCTTTTGGAGGGGACAACAGGGTCTTACTATGTGATTACCCTACTGCCTCTGCCTCCTGAGTTCTGGGATTAGAGGAGTGAACCAGAGTTCTGAATCTGTTTTTATTTTCATTGTGTTCAAAAACAAGACAAAAGCAAGTCTTGAGGATTCTGAGTATTAAATAATTTAAACAAGAAATTTAATGGTACAAATAATTTAGGGTGTGATGTCTTTGTACAGAGGGATTCCATGGAACTTGTTCATAGAACTTCGTCTTGGGATATTCTTTCCTATCCTCCTCGAATTAGTGCGAAAAAGTATATTTAGAGGACTCGATAGATAATTTTTCTTTTATTCTGAGAGATGTCTCAATTGAGTATGTGTTGATTCCTGAAATTGTGGGAATTTAGTAAAATTATACATTTTGTTACTTAAAGTTGGATATTTTATCGTTGTTTTCTTTTTTTTTTTTTTGAGACAGGGTTTCTCTGTAGCTTTGGAGCCTGTCCTGGAACTAACTCTTTTTTTGTTTTGTTTTGTTTTTCGAGACAGGGTTTCATTGTGGCTTTGGAGC